CAGGCAGTGGTCTGAATATTGGATACATGAAGAACAAATTGACTGTTATCATGGTGCTTACATTCTGGTGGTGGAAATAAACAAAGAAAAACATGTTAGGCAATAAGTGCTGTAAAAAAATAATGTGGGATAAGAGAGTGGAGGTGATCAGGGTAGGGGTCCTATTTAGGTAGGATGGTCAAAAAGACTTATCTGATTAGGTGAAGACATTGAGCAAATAACCTGAATGAACTGAAGATTTGGAGAAAGTGTTCTAGGCAGAGGATTCCACTCGAAAAAGACCCTGAGAAAATCCGTACAGGCAAAGTAGATTAGTGGTTGCTTAGGGCAGAAGCTGAGGGGGGAGGATGGAGAGTGTCTGCTAATGGGTGTGGGGCTGCTTTATGAGGTGATGAAAATGTTCTCAAAATAGATGGTAATGATGGTTGCCCAACTGTGAATATTCTAAAAACCTTTGAATTGTGTGCTTTACAAAGGTAAATTTTATGACATATACATTATATGTCAATATAGCTATATTCTTAAAAGACTCCAAAATAATGAATGAAGGACAGCAAGAAGTTCAATATGGCTAGACTAGAATAAGGAAGATAGGAGAGAGGTAAAGTGATTACTCTCGACCTCTAGACCTATATAGCTATATCTCCACCCCAACCAAAAAAATCTTTATATTATTTCCTTTGAGATAGGAATTTAGCTAGTTTTCATAATGGAAAGTTATCTCATGAACTAATTGATATAAACAGGTTCATGATAGATTCTCAGGGATTTTTCTTTTGAATAGGATATTACTGGAAAAATAAATACATGAATCGTGGATATTCTGTGGGCTGTGGACCCAGAATTGGATTGGTAGGAGTCAGGGCATCTATGCGTATGCCATGCCACTGTCTCTTGATCAAATAAAGAAACGTACAACTTTTAACATGGGAAAGAAGTCTGAGATATTTTTGATATATTGAAAAAGTTGGGAACTGCTTGGTTAAAGCAGAGGAATTCTTTTCTAGAGACATTGCTGACATGTGTAAAAGACTGGTATGGATGATATTTTGGAGGCATATGTTGAAGTGAGGCTTTTTAGTCCTGTTAAATAGAGTTCCTAGGTTCTGGCAGTTTTCTATAAACACAGATATTCATGGATATAAGCAGAATTGTTTTTTTTAATCATCTCTGTGTGGGTTGTTTTTGATAAAATTTTACCCTCAGGTGACTTTTCTCTTAGACACACAATATATTTCTAGGTAGCTCATTACTTCTATATATTTTCAGGTAATAGTTTTTAAATATCATTACTTTTTATTATCTCAGTGTAAAAAAAATAGGAAAGTAATTGCTGTAAAAAAAACTATGTTATATTTCTTATGTAACCAAATATCTTGAGGAAAACCCGGTGATGGTTGATGTTTATCTTCTTCCTTGCTAGTATAGAAAATAGAAATGTGGCCTTGTAGTACATAGTAGGATTTTTATTAATTCATTAATTTGGTAAGGGCCTATTTCCTTTTCTAGGAAAAAGGCATTGAAGTGATGTTTTCTCCTCACCCTTGTCCTACTTGGACCATTGATTGGAGTAATCTTCCTGCAGCAGTGAGCCCAAAGGAAGGTGAGATTGTTTTTTTCTCTCCTTTAAATCTTACTCATAATCTGGATAGTTACTTCATATCTATCTTCTAATTTTATAATCCTCTTTTTGGCTATATCTAAAATTCTGGTTATTCTATCTTTATTAAGTTTTTATTTATTTTATTATAAAATTTTTACATGTCTACATCACTCAGATTTAATATTTACCACATTTTTCTAACATTTGCTTCATGTATTCCTTTGTTTCTTTGCTAAAGCATTTTGAAGCAAATCCCAGGCACATGTCCTTGGATCAGGATTACAGTACAGACAGCTAAAAAATTTTTACATCTTAAATAATCATTATGACACATAATAAAAATTAACAAAAATTCCTTGATCATCTAATAATTAGTCCATAATTATTTCCCCCAATTGTTAAAATGTTGTTTGTAAAAATATATATATTTATAATTAGGTTTTTAGTTAAATATATTTTTCATTGCTAGAAATTATATTTGTTTTATTTTCCTTGCTCATGTTTCAATTTCCTCTTTTTATAATTTTTTAAACATGGCTATTTTATAGTATATTTGTTATTTCTAATAGCTGATATCAATAGAGATGTAATTCTATTTGTTATTTCTGTTGATTTACTCATGTTTTCTTATTTTCCTGTTAGTTTTGTAGTTTTAGATTGTGAATTCATTTTTATGTTACCTAAATCTGTTGGAATCTTGTGGGGCTTTGTGAGGTTAAGAGTAAATTCTCATAGAAGGGGTTTATAGTTGCTTTGCCGGGCATCTCAAGATATTTTAAGACCACTTAGCATTAATTTTTCAGTTTGAGATTCCTCAACCTTTTCTATCAGGAGCTAAGGTTTAAACAAACAAGTTATGTATCATTTTCCTTTGCTGTTGAGTGGACTTCTTTTTAAATGCACCTTTTCATAGGGAATATAAGTTTTCAAGTTTCTCTTTTCATGTAGTGATACTAGTTCCAACTTGTCACCATGCTGGATAGGGATCAAGGACTAGCCTCTCTTCTTTGTCTTACTGTGGAAGCTTAGATTCTTATTATTAGCAAACACCTTCCAGGCAGCTGTGGTATCAGTTCAAAATTATTGTACTGCTTTTTAGTTTCTTAACCCCTTTTAAAGGCCTTATGGATTTTTCTGACTCTCAGAAATCCAGTTAGAAATGTAAAGGATGATTTTTGAATTTTAAATATCATTTTAGATATTTTTATGTGGGGAACTGTTTTATAACTCAGTGTGATATTTCTTTAATCGTTTATGTGCTCTTTGGTTTTATAATAAGCCAAATATAACTTGATTTTCAAATGCTCTCTGAAATCATGTGCCTTTCTTTTTCCTATTCTCTTCTGTGATACTTCCTAATATTGCCTGAATCTCACTGGTCAATTCTGTTCTGTCAAGAAAATAATTTAGGATTCTTTCAGAATGAAAACAGATTTTATTGAGCAGTTAAAAACTCTGCATCAATATTATATAAAAACTAGAGGCCCGTTGCACGAAGATATTCGTGCAATAGGCCTTCCCTTTTCCTGGCTGCTGGCACTGGTTTTCCTCCGGCACCCGGGACCCAGGCCTTTGGCCAGAGCCTTCAGTCTTCGCTCCCCACTTCGCGCCTATGTATGCAAATTAACCGCCATCTTTGTTGGGTTAATTTGCATACTCTCCTGATTGGCTGGTGAGCGTAGCAGAGAGATGGTCAATTTACATGTTTGTCTATTATTAGGTAAGATAAAATTCAAGCCCTAGCCAATTTGACTCAGTGGCTAGAGTGTCAGAACATGGACTGAAGGGTCCCTGGTTCGATTCTGGTCAAGGGCACATACCTTAGTTGCAGGCTCGATACTGGGCCCTGATCAGGGACCATGCGGGAGGCAACCAATTGCTGTCTCTCTCTCACATTGGTATTTCTCTCTCTGTCTCTCTCCCTCCTTTTCACTCTCTCTAAAAATCAATGGGAAAATATCCTTGTATCAGGATTAACAAAAAAATAAATAAAAATTCAATTTTGGTCTTTTATTAAGTATATAAAAATAGTAACTAATGACCTTGTTAATATTTTAATTATAACTATTTTTAAGATTTTGAAAAACTTGTTTGAAAACATTTTTAAAAGTTTAACAGTTTTTATTCTACTTGTAATTGGATTTTGTATACTCTTTGACTATAGTATTGATTTGAACAAATTAAACCTAGAGTTTACTTTAGCTTTCTAAAATAAAAATCTAATTTTCATTAATATCTATCAAAAAATGAAAATAGAGTTTAAAAGTACCACATGTTTTGCTTATTCATAATTTACTATGAGGCCAAAATAACATTTTAAATTATTTATATGAGCAATCAATTACCAACTCAGAAGTCTGCATTAAGCATTCATGTCTGATTGTTTTACTGGTTGGAGTGCATATCTAATGAAGCTTCTGGAATTAATCACTCATTATATCCTTATAATGGATCACCTTGTTTACATAAATATTATGACAAAGATGAACTTATCACAGAAGAGATACATGGTCCACTCACATTTCATTTACTGTTTCTTAAAAAGTTTATAGTCTTGTTAAACTAAGCCAGAATTATAGCATTTTGTTTTTCTATTTTCAGTTCTGGTGACATGGTAATAGGATTTTTGTGAAATTAAATTTATTATTTACTTAGGGGTGTGGAGGTCACTGTGAAAGTCATGATTGTGTTCTAGTACTTTTTTTTTTAAAGAAGAAATTGAATTGCAATAAGTTATTCTTAGTATTTGGTTCATTTGGATGTTGCAAAGACTGACTCCTTATACTGAATTCATTGAATTACATCAAGATTTTGAAACATATAAAAATCATTCTCTTTACTAACAAAGACTGTATTGATACTCATCATGGAGTCTAATATATTTCTTAAGCTTATCTAATCTTCTATTCTCTGTTCTCACCCGTTCTCTCTCTACTTCTTATGTACTATTCCCTAAACTCCAATGCTGTTTGGTTTTTTGTTTTGTTTTGTTTTTTTTCATTAAGTCTTCGGCATGGACATGAAGTCAGCCTGCCTGAGTTTAAAACCTGGACTACTGACTGGCTACATAACCTATATACCCAGATTCTCAACTTCTCTGTGCCTCAATTGCTTCATCTGTAGAATGGGGATAATAGTGCCTATTTTATGAGATTGCTGGTGTGATCAATGAATTAATGCAGGGTGGGGCAAGAGTAGGTTTATAATTGTGGGTATGTGAAACACAGACTTTAGTTTTATATTATTACTTATTAATTATTGCATTTTTTCCATATGAACACCTGTAAACCTACTTTTGCCCAACCCGGTATATAAAGCAATTAGTACAGTGCCTAGTAAAAAGTAAATGTTAAATAATATTAATGTAGTAGTCAGAATTAATCACTCTCTCTTAATATTCCTTTAGTACTCTCTTATACTTCATTTTGGTACTTATTGTATGCTTCTCATACACTGTAATTACTTATATGCATGTTTTCCTTCTCCAATTGACTGTGAACTCTTTGAATATAGGGTGTCTATGTATAAGTACTCAATACTTTTTTAAAAAAATATGTTTTTATTGATTTTTATTTTTTATTTTTTTAGAGAGAGAGGAAGGGAGAAGGATAGAGAGATGGAGACACCGATGAGAGACATGGATTGGCTGCCTCCTGTACACCCCCTACTGGGGACTGAGCCTGCAACCCGAGCATGTGCCCTCACTGGGAATCAAACTGGGGATGGCTTGGTTCATGGGTCAGTGCTCAACCACTGAGCCATACCAGCCAGGCCTCAGTACTTTTTTTTTTTTTTTTTTTGAATCCTCACCTGAGGATATTTTTCCATTGATTTTTAGAGAGATTGGAAGAGAGAGGGAAAGACAGAGAGAAACATCAATGTGAGAGAAACACATCGATTAGTTGCCTCCTACATGCACCCTGACCAGGGCCCGGGCTGAGGAAGAGCCTGCAACCGAGGTACGTGCCCTTGACTGGAATCGAGCCCATTTTTCAATTTGCAGGCTGATATTCTATCCACTGAATCAAACCAGCTAGGTCCTCAATACTTTTTTTATTAAATTGAATTGAGACTACAAATCATTTTTTAAAATCTTTCAAAATTTCTGTTTAAAACAAGCAACTTGTCTCATATAGATTTAAAAGGCTAAAATAATTGAATTATTTAGTCTGAAGAAAGGAGACCTGAAGATTTAATATACATTATTATTATTATTACATTTTTATAGACTCTTTGGGAATAAATTGTAGACATCACACCTCTAGTTCTAAATATTTAACTTTCTCCTTTAAGAACAAGGATATTTTCTTACATAACCATATTACAATTATCAAAAGAGGACATTTAATTTAGTACTATTATCTAATCTACAGTAGCTTGTGATACATTTAATTGTCTTATCTTTTTAGTCTTCCTTAGTTGTTTCCTCCTGTTAGATTCAAGTGAGGCATTTTTGGCAGGAACACCACATGTGATGTCTGTCCATCTCAGTGCAGGTATCGGGAAGCACACTATCTCAGTTTAGGCCAGTGATGTTAACTTGAACCGTTTGATCAAGGTGATGTCTGCCAGCTGTCTTTACTGTAATGTTACTGTTTTCCTTTATTAAATTGGTAAGTAGTTTGTGGAGAGATATTTGAGACTATATACTACATTTTTATTTTTTCAAAATTTTACTCACTAGTTTACATTAATTTAATGCTTCTTGCCTGGATCTTCTCAGTGCAGTAGGAGACTGTTGGTTGAAGATTTTCTATCAGTGCACATGACTAAAATATTAACTTAAACATTTCATGCTTCGTGTTTTATAATTTATCATATACGGAACCATCTGATCACAACTATCTGTGACTCTATACCCTTAAGAACTGTGACTACCCTTAATTCAAAGATGAAAGTCACTGCAAACAATCTGGCATTCAACTTAATAGGTGTATTTTTACACCTTAGTAGGTAAATACTGATATTGAATTTTAAAAAACCAAGACAAATTTTGTGGT